TATAAACTTTACGTTCAGGAGTTTTAATAAACTTCTTAGTGTTCAGGAGGAGTTTTTATAAACTTCTTGTCAAACAAATGTTTTTTCGCCGTTGATGTGTCTCTTCAAAGATTTCTGTGAATGTTAAGTTTCAATGAATCGAAGAGTTGGCCTCCTTCAACATTTCAGAATGAGACCGTCACTCGACGCACCCGAGTGGATCCGTTTCAGCTCGTTTTTAACTGACTCGTGTGTTGTGAACTGCATGTTGTGGTTCTGGTTTCATGGAGGTAGAACTGGGTTGAAAATGGACCCAAATGTTGGAGATTGTTTGATGAAACCTAAAAACATGAAGTACAGTGAACTGTGTCATGGACTTTCCTGGTTCTGTCTCTGCTCGTCAACAATGGACCCCATAATTCCTGCAGGAAGTTCTTAGCAGTTGCACCACCAGAACCAGGTCCACCTGCAGGTTCTGAGCCATGCTCCAGAACCGACATCGGATCGGAGGAATGGATCAGTTTTCTGTCGTATTAGTTGAAATAATTTTTGGACTCCTAAAAGAACTTTAATATTCAGCTGATGTCCAGTTCCTTCAGCCGAAGCTGTGGGATTGGTTCTGGTTCAGTGTTCAGTTCTGGGTTTTTGTTTTAAGTCATTTTTATTAGAGGTGCACCGATTGCAGTTTTCTGGCCGATCACCGATTTCTAGAAAGTCTGACCTGTCGGCTCCGATTTTGTTTTATAAGCGACAGTCAGGTGTTATAAGGTCACGGTGCACCTTCAGTTTTCTAATATTATTTTGTTGAAGAACAGACCCTGGATCAACATCCTAGAAACAGTACAAACTTGTTTTAACTGGACATGAGGTCGTGCTCTGAAATATAAATGAAGTTCAGACAATTGTTGTTAAAACTAAGAGAATCGATAAAATCGTGTATCGGCCGATTTCCCAAAATTAAGGAAATCATGGCCGATACATCGGCCCTGATATATCGGTACACCCCTAATTTTTATTGGAGCTCTTTGTTTGATTTTAGTTGAATTTTAAATAAACTGAATTAGTTTTGGATCAGAATCTACTCTGAAAACTCAGAAGTTTATCAGAACCTGTCCGTAGAACCGGTTCTGTTCCAGGTGTCCTCAGCAGGGTGTGCAAGTTGTGTGATCGAGGTTTGCGGGTGAAATGCATGCTGGGAGTGGGTTTGCAGATTGTTTGCGTTTTTCTTCTTTGGTTGTGATGAGTCAGTCAGGAGAGGTTCTGTTGGGCCCAGACCTGAAAGGTTCTGACTCACTTCCTGTCCACAACTGATTTTTTTAAAACTTTAATATTGAAGCTGTTTCTGCACCAGCTGATGTTTGTGGAAATAAAGACAACTCATCGTTTTTCAAGTGTCTCCACCTTCCCACCACTGAGGGTGAAAAACACAAGATGCAAATTAAAACTGGTGCAATGCATTGTGGGTCTATGACGTACATCAGTTTAGGGAAGACTAAAACACAAGAAGTCACGGCTCAAACGTAACGTGAATAAAGTTGTTTTGTATCAATCCTTTTGGACAAAACGTGGACAACGTGCTGCTTATTATCCCCAGAGCTAATGCGGTTAGCTCAGTAACTAACGTCATATACATATATTAGCTCTGGAGCTAAAAGTGTTAGCTCTGGAGCTAAAA